GAGGGGGGGGGGAACAAAACACACAGGACAAAAATTTGGAGTAACAAAGGAACGAACTGAAGAAAGAAAACTCGAAATACAGTTTCGAAAAGAAAACGATTTTTTCCAGTCAAAAAGCTTCAATTAAAAAGTAACGGTTTTTTCGGCAAAATATAAAAGATGTTCAGTAAGTAAAAATGACAAAATATGAGCTGTTACTTCCATTATTCTTAAAGAAACAAAAGACACACTTTTATTAAAACTTAGTTTAAATTTTAATTAAAACTATTAGTTTTTCTTCAAATAATAAAAATATATACTCGTATGATATCAATGTCTATCACTATATACGCGCTCTACATGCTTTTACATAATTACATTTAAAAAATGAAGACATTACGACCCAGACATTTATTCGATCGCAAACATAAAGATTCTTTTTTCTTAACTCGAATATTCTGGGCAGAAAGCAGAGAAAAAATAAACTCTGACAATTAAACAAATCATGCATCTCGAATAAAGAAATGAGAAATAAAACAATGTTTATTGCTCTACTAGCTCAGGTAACAATGCAGTAATGTTGTAATTAATGAAATAAAAGAGATATAAATTTGATATTTACAAAAAAAGACGAGAAAGTTTTACTGTAGACTTCAAGTAGCACGGAACATTTCAACAGTATTATTGCAATGTTACTGCAGCAACAATACATTGTTGGAATGTTCTATGTGCTACCTGAAGAACTGCACTAAAACTTTCCTTCTCGTTCTTTAAATTTTATTAAATATAAACTTATTAAACATATACCTGTTTTACTTTGTTAGATGTAATGTTACTCCAATATTGTTGAAACATTCCATGTTACCTCTGAGGCATAGTACAGCAAGGTCTTTTGTTTCGTTACAATATTGCTTTCAGCAAATATCGAATAATTTATCTATTTTACCTTAAATATAGAGTGTACTAGTTCAACAGGAAAAACAGATCTGAAGTTAAATATGTAAAACAAAATTACTTCGTCTTCTTTTCGAGAAATCGGTCTTCAAAACCCGAACACGTCTGCTTGTCTTGTGTGATTTGATTTCTCTATTAGTACACAAGAGAACGGAAAGTACATTGTTATAATACTCGAGTGTCTGCGAAAGTAAAACGGATTCTTAATCAATATTGACGAACTAATATTAGCAGACAAACAGTAACGTTAGTAAACAGATTTGAAATGTAGAGTCAACATAGAAATGGTCTACACATTTAATATAAGTGTTTATAATTTCACAAATATTCTTCTATACTATAATTTCTTATATACAAAAGTGATAAATTATTTGAATATTGAAAGTATTAAATGTGCTGACATATTCATGTTAAAAACTAAAAATATATCCCGTCAAAAAAAAAAATTTCAACACTTAAATCTTTTTAGATCCAAATAAGAAATAAAACTTCACTATTTCAAAAACTAATAGACTACTAATAAACTTTTTACTATTTTTCTTTCTTTTCTAATTTGTGTAAATTATTAATTTATCAATAATTACATAAAAAACTGCAAAAATTAATCAAACAATTCACATAATATTCATAATATACATTTATCCGTTTTTGAAACGAGATGAAAATTATAAAAGTAAACAAATTCACCAAATATCGACTAATAAAGTTATAAATATACTAGTAAATTTTAAAATAGTCCTTCTGATTCAAGACAAACAAATATACAGAAGCTACTTACGAAAGAGGTTCACATTCGTTTAAAATGTCCACTATCGCAAGTCGACATCGTCATCTCGCTTCAATACTTTCGCCGATGTCCCGGTTATCTTTCACATCTCTCGATCCGCTGCTTTACGACAAATCGTGTCGTCGACCAACCAACCGACCGGACCCGTTGGAACATCCGTTCGAACATCCGCGAATATCGATCCATCTCTCGGTCGAGTCACGCGGTACGAAGATCAAGAGACGAAAGAAACGCGCGACGAGCCGAAAGCCGTGCTGGCGAGGGAAGAGATTGGAACAGTTGTTGTTCAATTGTGCTTAATTGATGGAGAGACACCAACGGGCGCGCGCGGGCGTGCGAGGAACCCGTCGGTCAAACGCGATATCGCTAAGCGCGAGTTATTCGCGTAGCTTATCGGCGGGAACGCGCGTCTCTCGATGATTCCACAGCGATCCGATCGAGGAGAAAGTGCACGGCGAGCGAATGCCGACAAAAGCTGGCCGGGGGTTTCGTGCCGCCAGTGAAAGGTCTGTCCGCTGGGAAATTTTGACCCTTCAACGGAGGTAGTCAAAAAAAATCGTCCACAATGCATAAGAAGGCCAGAGAAACTTGTTTTCCTTCTTACAAAAACTTCTTCAGTAAATTCGGAGTTTATACGCTAAAAGCAAAAGGAATAAAAAGTATGTACTTACGTCGATCATTTTAAAGAAATAAATATTAACAGAAGTAAATAAATAAAAAAATCTCACGGATTCTATAAGAAATTATATTCCGTGGAGATTCGCGTTAAAGATACTGATTATGCGCAAATAAAAGCCAATAATTTAAAAATATATTTTCCTGCAATATAGAATATTAAAAATATTATACTTTGTGATTCTTAATGGTGGGAGAATTCAAATCCTATCTATGCTCCCATATTAATGCCTGTTAATGTAGAGATTAACATTAATCTCGGTTTAATTTACTCTTCATTTTCTAAGAAATAAAAAACAAATTCTAAGAATTCTTAGAAATAGATGAAGAATAAGTTGAATCAAGATTAAAGTATTAAGTGTTGTAATTTTAAGGCTTAATTTCACCAATATAAGATTAACTTTAATCTTGTTTCAGTTTTGTTTCAATCTCTGAAATTTTCAAAATGAATAGTTACTCTAAAAAATAAAATTTCGCTCTTAAAGACTGAAAATTGGATCTCTCTTTTTCAAGACTGGTTCAATTTTTTAGAGTATAATTCTACTCTAAAGAATTTAGAGTATTTTAATTTTTTTAAATTCTCAAATCTTTCTTTTAAATACACACACAATTGCTTCCAACAATAAAGATTAATTTTAATCTTGGTTTAACTTACTTTATCTCTTTCTAATTCTAGAAAAAGATAAAAAGGAAGTTAATCCGAGATTAAAATTAACAACACTGGTGAAGAAACGGATATCATTCTTTGAATTAAAAAATAAGATAAATTATTAAACCAATTATATAAGATCAAAATCTCAATCTTAGTGAAACCGGGTTTCATGCCAGTTTCTTACCAATAGCTTAATTTTAATTTTCAATTAGCTCTTTATTTTTTCTAATCCAAGAATTAGAAAAAAATAAAAACAATTCAACTATTAAAATTAATCTACATTAGTAGGAACAGGCATTAGAGTTAAAAAAAGATAAAGAGTAAGCTGAACCAACATTAAAGTTAATCCATGTTTGTGGCACATGCATAACAGATAATTAACAAGAACTTTTACTCATATGCAACAAAGAGTTCCGTTCAATTATCCGACGAGCTCACTGCATCCCGAATCCAATCCACAAAATAGATATCGAATAGAAAGGGAAGCGCCGTGAGATTTGCACTAGTATTCTTTGTGTACTCATCCTCTCTTTCTCTCTCCGACATACCTAATTATACTCTAATTATATACCTACTTCCCTCAAGAGTGGAAAAAACGGCGCGGTTCTTCTAGCAAAGAACAGACTTTACGGAGTACCGCCTTATCGTTCGTTGTCGGAGCAACAGGTTGCAGCGTTGCAGCGGCGCGAATCAACAGGATTCGTCGAAGCCAACGGTCGTCGCACTCGCGTCCGCGCGACGCGGCGCCTTTTCTCACGCATGCGCGCGCGCGTTGCGGGCGATCGCGACGCGAAGATCAATCAGGCGAGATCGAAGCTTCGATCCTCCCGTTTCCTTCCGAATTTCTCCGCTGGACTACAATCCTCCTTTCGCGAGAATTCGAACGTACGGACGCGCGATCGGCGGGACTGGTTGCGCGACTCGTTGCACTCGCGAGCTTTTCGCTCAAGCCGAAATCGTACCATCATGGCCGCCGTTACCGCTTCGTGTTCTTCTCGTACACCGTCACGTTAATCGTCGACGTCGCGCGGACAACTTCTCCAGAGCCGTCGATGCGTTTTCCCGTGCGATCCCGAGCCGATCGCCGCACGAGAAGTCGCAACTCTCGGAAGGCCGGTAATTTCACTCGCAGAGACGCGATTGTCAGACGCCGATGGCGGCGACGCGTTGCCTGACCTGACGCCATCGAGAGATACCGAGTCACAGCGATACCGTCGCGCGACCGATACCACCGAGCGCAACGCGATCGCGAGGTGCGTGCTAATTTGAGGAAGCGTCGAATGGCCGGGAACGTGAATCATGCGTGATTATCTATCGGCACTGACGAGAACAACGAGACGCGCGAAATAAATGCGAGGGAACGAGCGACGAACAGACAACGACGCGCCGGAGTCCTTGAAAACTGAAATCGTGCCCTTCGAAAGAGATCTGCTCGCGGCTCGCTAAGGAGAGAGGAGGGAGAAAGAGGAAGAACCTTCCCCCTCCCACCCGCAGCCGCTGGAACAGCGCGCTCTTCGTCCTCGTTCCGCCAATGGAAACGGGTTGCCCCCTCCCTTCCCACCCCAGGGAGATCCTTCGTGAAGAGAGCCGAATGTAGAGCGACATGAAAAGGGCGGGGGAAATTTACCGAATCTACCTGAGTGTGATTTTTCTGGCGGGAATTACAGTACCACCAAGCGAGATGCTCTAACGATGCTGTTTCAATCGCTTTTTTTCTTTTTCGATCTCCGAGAGACAAGTTTGGAATATGAAATTTATAAATAAGATAAGAGACGTTTTGTACACAGGAAAGTCATCATGAACAATGAAAGACAAATATTGACAGAGCACGTAAAATATTCAGGTACCTGAAGTATCTATTGAAATAATACCAACAATGCCATTCACGAAGGTCAAAGATCTCTTAGAATAAAGGAATTTTTAAAAGATTTCCGAAAAGAAGATTGTATAATATTTAAGATAAATATTTATCTTGTATGATTTGTGATGTTAACTTATGATAAGTAATAAAATGCTTTATTGAAAGAACTATTTTTTAGAGAAAAAAGAAATTTTTCCTAAAGGACTAATTCGAGAAATATTTCAAGAACTTTTCTAGATTTTTCACAGTTTATCTTATCTTGAGCATTGTTCGACTACGATTTGAAAGCTCATATGCTAGAGATTTGCTATTTCGACCGAAGGTCAGCTAATTGCTTTCCAAAAAAAAATTGCATTTCAAAAAACGCACATGATTTTATTTGTACATTACGATCCTTGTTGCAAATTTTTTTATTATTAGACTAACATAGTGCGAACGCAATCGCAGACATTTTCTTATATTATTTTAACATAAAAGGCAAATATTATATAATCACAGACTTCCTTATTATTATAAAACAAATATTCTTTTACCATATTACTTTCCGCGTAATTTAATATTGCACAGATCACTAAATAGTGAAATTAATCCAAGTAACAAATTAACCAAGCAAAAAATCGGAGATTTTTCCCGTCAGTCAAAGAACAGAAGATTGGTCCCAAAAACTGGAGACTTTAATCGAAAACTGAAAATCTGGCAACCTTGATTTTTTTCCTAGAATTTGTATTATTCTGCCCCCTCCCCCTCCCTCTCAACAATTATCTTGCGTGTTTTTAATGTATTTTTAAATTATTAAGAAGTATTAAAATAAATTATAAATTTGCCAAAAATATGGATAAAAATATGTATATTTATAACAAGCGACCTTTTTCACTATCTCACATTTATTAACAAATATCTCGAAGAATTTTTTAGATTTTTCTAGGATTTTTTTACAATTCATACCAATCTATCAATTTTTTTGCTTTGCATTTGTTCATGTATATTATTTTTAAATTTTGAAGAAATATTAAAATAAATTATACAATAATTACAAAATTAGAAATATACATATTTACATTTTTTACAATTTCTTCAATTTTATATATTCAGTAAAAAAATATTTCAAAGATCTTTTCCACATTTTTCTAGGACTTTATACCATTCTGTTAACATTTCTTCTATTCATTGTTTATTTATTCTTAAAGTGTAAGTCAAGAAATATTAAAATAAATTCTAATTATAAATTTGTCAAAAATATATATAAAGTTCTGACACACACACATATCTCAATTTTTTAAAATAAATTATATATTCTTATCTATATTGAATAATTCAAAATAATTATTCTCATCTATTTTGAATAAATCAATTTAAATAATTAGATTTCGCTCGTTTTTTGCAATACAAAGTATAAAGAAGAAACGGTCTAAATCGAGCGGTAATAAGATTTTTTTATAAAATAAATTTCTAGTTTACAATATTAATATAACATAAAAATATAAAATATAAAATTATATAAAAATAATATTGAACGTTTCTTGGAACACACGGGTCCTTCTTCAGCGATTCTTATCGATATTACAGTGTAGAGATGGAAGCATAATTTTACGGTCTAAGCGACGACATGGTATAGTATAATTTGTTCAAAGAAATTAATTCTCCTGTTTTTATGTAATGTGGAAATTGTGTAATAAAATGTCTGAAAACAGGAGCATCTTTACATATTCATCTGATTCTGTTAAGTGGAAGTGTTACAATTAATTTAAATAACTATTATAATTTATATATGTATTTATGAATGCATTAAAAGCACGATTTAATTATATCTGAGGCATGTTATTTCTAATAACTGAAACTCGGAGTTTAACAATATTTATTATATCTACTTTTATATAAAATTAATATAGAAAATAATTAAACACAAGCATAGTATGGCAGATAAAGCTGGTCTGTCAAGCAAAAGATTCCTGGTAGGAACCAAAATATTTATGCTCGTGTCTTCTCTTGGGAAAGGCTCTCAACTCCCAAGAGTATTCTTGCCCACAGAAATACCTCTTGGAAAATCTGCCATCCCATATGCTTGTGACAATTGAATAAGCGTGCACCACAAGCATATGAGACAGGTATAACATAAGCCAGATTTGACCTAGCATAAGAAAAAAAAAGAATAATTGTAGAACTTACTTTAGATGGTCGTCCACTTTCAGTGCAGCCATACATGCTGAGTACATCATCGTTATCTATGTTTTTGTTATAATGTGATGTGTGATCCAATTTATAATCCTTCTTCAATATCATATGCTCCATCTTAATCAGATTGTCGATAGTAGGCTGGATATCAGCATCGTTATTGACACAAAAAGTGACCCACAATTCGGTAAGTTTATCCAAGTCCACATCGTAATTGTTGCAGAATTCAAAACCTATGCAATACATATGCTCAGTAAAGAGAACTAATTCCAATCAAAAGTAAAAAATTAAAATATTTCTATTATTCCAAAATTCTATAGTCTAAAATTCTATTATAAAAATATTATCTATTATAAAATAAAACTTATTATTTATTTATCAAATAAAACTTCTGTTCTGACTTTAGTTCGAGTTTTGAATAACATTAATTTTAATCACGTATTTAACTTAATACTTTTTATTTCTTGTTGCAAAACCAAAAATTAAAAAATTTTAAAAGATTAAGTTCAATTATAATAAAAATTAACTGCCATTAATAATACTGACGTTCTTTTAAATCTTTTAAATATTTATTTGTAGCGAATGTAAACCGAAAGATTCCTCAATTTCAAAAGTGAGGTTAGACGAGAGCAAAGGGAAAAGTCTCGACGTCCGTTTCAGATCATGTATAAAATGTTCTTGTTTTACAAGATATATTTATTTGACCATTCAAAACAATTCAAAGCTACAACTCTATTCTTAATACAATAAAAAATAAATTTTCAACGAGTAACGATCTGGGCAAGTCGAGACGAGACATGTTTTAAGGAAAGATTTTTGATATTATAGTTGTGTGAAAATTGCAGTAAATCTTGAAAGTACTTACATTTATCGAAGACGACATCATTTTCGATTTCACAGCCCAAATCCAGGAACAGCTTCCTCAAAGATTCCTTGTCTTCCATTTTAAAGTATTTAAAACACTTGAACACTTGGTCTTACCACGCGTTCTTGTGAGCTTGTCCCTTATTGCCGCCAAAAACCGGATCCTCGGAGCTCGAAGCACCTCGGAGATTTAAAGCGTAGAGCATAGACATATTTATAGAAATCTGTGTAGAAATACAACTCAGCTTGCATCAGATGGACACTTACGCGCGTGCGCAACAGCATTCATATCTGTTCGTATGGTCTGTTTTTTGTTTCTGCACTGTCTGATTTAAGTGCACACTGTGCAATAAGTCGAAATGAAACAAACGTATATTTATTAGAGAGAAAAAAAAGGAAAGATGAACTGTGCAAGTTCAGTTAAAAACAGACTTGTGCCTCTAATAACGATCGTAGTATTGAATTCATCCAATCAGATTTTAAAGAAAAAGAGGGAAAATCAAAAACACAAAAATGTTCAATCAGATTGTATAAAATTCGTTCTTTGTAGTTGAACTTTTAGCACTTTCTATTTTTCTTTGTCCTTGAAATTTGATTAGATATTTAATTTTTTCAGCTCAGTGTAAGAACTCGGCCTCAATAATAAAAGAATTGAATAAACTACGAAGAATAAAGAGGATAAGACGTAAGATTTCAATCTACTATAGTACAAAATCCGAAATACATTCATGTTTTTAAAAAGTTGAAATGTTATTTCTTATTCTTTTTATTGCATTTTGACCCTTAATATTATGAAAAATAGACCTAAATAGATTTTGTCTGAAAAAATATATAACTAAAACTTTCTCAAGTACTTTCATGTTCGACTTACATGATTCAAATTACGAACGTTAAAGATACATGTATCTATTGATTTCTAACATTACATACGTTATTACGTTTATTTAACGTTTCATACATTGATTATAAATCACCTTGTATATTATTTAAAATACTTGTATATTATTTATAATACAATTAAACTTACAATGTTTTCAACTTGTATTTATAAAGTAATTGTATATTCATATATAACGTACAGTTACCTTTGAATTACATATACAAGCTCGGAATTTTTCCAACTGTAAGAGCCTGTGTACAATAGAACAAATATTTAAAAAATAGGAATAAATATTAAGATTTCAACCTATTTAGATATCGGTTACACTAGGGTATACGGTTTCTGATAGGTTGAAATCTTAATATTATTTATTAAAATATATGATGTAGAATGGCTCAAGTAATAGAAATTAAATAAAAGTATATTGAGAAGGGCTACGAGCTAAAAACAATAGATTTAATGTTTATAAAAAAAAATGAAAATGACAATATAAATATAATTACAGACGTTTCGACTCCGATCGGATCATTTTTTTATCAATGTTAAATATATTATAATTTAAACAGTAAAGTGTAAAAACAATAAAATAATAAAAGGATTACAGACGTAATTAATAAGTAACTCCTGGATATTAATGCCAAAAATTATTTTTCTTACGATGTATATGTGTCGCTATGTACAATGTACGATATGTCACTGATAACTCCATTCCAAAAGACCCATTTAAAGATCTTACATATAGTTTGCAAATGAATAAAATAGTAGAAATTGTAAATCTCTGATTGTCGTGTATGTGTTGTAATTACAATCAGAATATAAAATTAGTTAAAGTATGAAAAGATATGTAGAGATTGAAGCAAATTGCGATGAAGCGACCACATGTCACTTTCTACTGTTATGTTATAATCCCTTTTCAACATACTTTTATTTAATTAATATTTATTCCTATTCCTAATACTTCCTCCATTGTACACAAGATCTAAGGCTGGTAACCATAATCGATTCTTATATTTAAAAACCATCTTAAGTATAATATCAGCGCACCCCTCGTCCTGATGAAGTGAGCGGCATGGTTCACGAAACGTTGGCATTAATAATGAAGACACTGCGATAACCCGCAAACCTTCTGGTATAATTGAAGAAAATACCCGTGAAAGCCTCAAATGCGTAATCCTAAGTATAATATAATCTTAATATGATGTAGATTGTCCGTTCAGGCCATTTAATATTCTGGCTATAAAAAAAAACATAATTATAAAAAAACTTTATCTCATACACGGATACATAATTATAATTGATGCAATATTGTAACATTAGGCCTTCTTTGTTAGAATAAAATTTTATAATTTTTTATCATTATCAGATACAATATACAATGTTAGTTAATACATGTTACTCAAATAAACGCCCTAAAAAGTATTGTGGAGTCACTGGTGACTCATATGGCGTAATGATAAAGTCACAAAATTGGCCTAATTTATACACGAAATGTATTGACAGTCTTGAAATAAGAATCGATTATAAATACCGGCATAAATACATCCTCTCGTACTCATCTCAAGATATTTAGCGCTAAATTAGTTGTCCTTAAACAGGACAAATAATTTATTGACGAATATTGCGCTAGAATGTTATGGAATACAGATCACAATATGATACAATCTGCAGTCATACAGCTTTAAAAAAAATTAAAATTGACACGCACCATATGTACACATTCAATCCTGAAATAATTAATGGTCACGTTTAATAGAATATTTATTTTGCATTTGTTAAAAGTCTTTTTTGCTGAAATGAGTTCCTCTAGAATAACTGAATCTAGAAATATAATCCAATCGCAAAATATTTACTAACCACTGACTTGCAGAATTGCATCACAAAAAAATTTTTAGAAGTTTTAACAAAACTATTAAAACTATATTCCTAATAAATAACAAGATAATCAAAAGGCTCAGTTGAATAAATCAAAAGAAACAAATAAAATGCCAATATGAGCCAACCCAAGTTATCAGTGTGTACTTTTTATACAATTTATTATTCATTTCAAATAAATTGTATAAAAAATACACACTGATAACTTGTGTTGACTCATATTGTCATTTTATTTGTTTTTCCTAATAAATATTTGTTTAACTTAAAACGTTTATTCTCTCGACTTCCACATTTTTGTGTTAATTTCTTTTTTTTTTCACTGGCCGTATTAAATCATAATAAGAATCGGAAGCCATAATAAAGGAAGAAATTGCCTTCTGTTAAACGCGACCATTGCTATTTTGTGTAAGAAATAATGTGTAAAAAAGTAATATTTTTAAACATGTAACATCGGCTGTTCTGGTAAATAACCAGACACGAAAAGTTACACGAAATTTTTAACGATTGAATCGTTTGGACAAATATTTTAGTAATATTCTGACTCAAAATATTGTTTATCTTTTTCCCAGAGTTCTATCAGCGTTTCAGATACGTCTAAACTTGGAAATCTTTCTGTCCATGATTGAATAAGTCCCGCGAACGATGGCTCATAGTTTTTCAGCATCACGTTATTAGAATTGAGACCTAAAACAAATAGAAAAAATTAAATTCATGAAAATATACAAGTACACAGATAATAAAAATATTTAAAGAATAGCAATATATAAGGTTTTCTTTGATACAAACCATCAATAAATGTGTTTGATTGAACAAAGATCTTCCTTGGTTCTTTGCGAGATAGAATTAAGTCTCTCCAGCGACCCCATGGATATGGTCCATTTGCGGGTACCTCGCTGTATCTGTCGTACATTTTCTTAGCAGACTCAATATCTCCCATACTCTTATAAACTTGTAGCTTCAGGAGAAAATCTCCGATGGCCTTTTTGCCGACCGTGAAGATCTTGCTTCGATCGACGGTCATACGGAGATCAGTTCCACCCTCAGTTTCGACGACATTGACGAAATTCTGGCCTGCCTCCAGACACACTCTGAGCAGGACATAACGCGCTTGAGAGTGAGCTTGAGACCACGTTTGCGTGGATGGTTGATACATTTCGAAAGCCTTTGCAAAACCACCCCACAACAAAGATAACCAGTTTACGTAGATTATATCCTCTGCTACCTGTCCTTCGTGACCGAATATTTTCATCGTTTCGTTCTCCAAGCTCAAATAAAGACCGACTGCCTCTGCCCTGCATTCCTCGTATGTAGATCCCAGAGAGCCGAATTTAGAATCGTAAGTTTCTCCTTTCAAAAAGAATTTGTCTATCTTACCACCAGTAAGAGGATTTATCACAGCGTCACGATCGAAGTTGTAGGTATCCGGCCCCGTCTGTTTGAATAATTTACCGGTACCATGACCGAGAAGCTCGTGGAGACCAACTTGCACCTCAAAGCTAGATATCCTATATGTATGCATCAATGCCTGATCAGCGTCAGATAGAAATGGAATTGCACGAACATCCTTCAAATGCGCAGGTATAACGTTTCCTAATGATACATTTTTAAAGCCTTCAGACTGTCTAATCTCGTCGTAATTTGGGATGTTTATTCCCGACGGAATACTGGAACCTGCGAACGTTAAAACGTCTAAGGATGTAAAATCCGGTCTCAAAAATGTGTCCTTTTCAAAATTCTTGTTCCATGGCAGTTTGGGGATAAATTCTTCAGCTCTGTTGACTAGTGTAGCAAATTTCTCAGACATTTGTCTGTTCACCATCGCTACAAAGCCTTCGAATTCTCCTCGTTGACCAGCGGGATCTCGGTATGTCTCGATGAAACCGATATAAGACTCGATAGACGGTCCTTTATCCTTTATCCAAAGACGAGAACCGTCCTTATGGTCATCTAAAGATCCTGTTGTAAAATGTTGGATGTATTTTTCTAGCATATCTTTTTCAATCTGGTTTGATGCGTACTCCTTAGCTTTCTGAAGGTTTTCCACAACAAGCACCAAGAGTTTGCTGTAATCTCCTCTTGTAATTTTAAACTTGGCATTTTCAAATGTTTCCTCGCACAGTGTTACTTTAGGATTATCCGACGTCTCCACAGATGCTAATTTGATCTCGTACATATTAATATTATCGTTATTCGCAGGATCTTTAACTACTGTCTTGAAGCATCTTGCGTTACAGGATTCTAATCCTTTATGTTGCATAAAAGCGTTGACTCTGTCAGCATCTTCTTCAGTACAGTTCGCAGAGAAATAAGTTGTGATACCTTTGTCACCTAATCCCAATGATTTTAATTTACCTTTTAAGGAAAACATGGGTTCTGATATTTTATTCCATAGAGCTTGAATCTCCTTAGAATTAGTCTTGTATGCCTTTGAAGATCTTATTATTGCCTCAAATAATCCTTTCGGAATATTGGGGATAATTTTAGTATCACCCATGGCCTTATAGTTGCCTGCATTTGCAAAAATTCCAGAACTGTAAACTAGAAAAGCCTGAAAAAAAAAAGATATTCCGTGTCATTATGTGAATGTTAACTTAATAATCTGCAAAAGTAAGAAATAAAGAAAAAATATACAAAAAGAAGGAAGCTCTTCTTGTACCGTAAATTGTTCCTGAGTAACACCAGCGCGTACAGAGGAATTTTCCAAGTCTTCAAGAGATTCTGAGAGAAATATTTTTTGCAACAGTGCAAATATCAGTGGAGACTCCGGTGATGTTTGTATTAATACTATCAATCCTCCGTTCCATGCCGCTTGGCTCAAGTAATGAGTATACAATTTTTCCTTTTGCGTCAAAGATTTGAAGGCAGTGTCACATTCCAGTGCAACAACAGGTTGATCATTTGGCAATGTGTACAAAGTTTTATCTATATCACTCATTGTTGAATAATATTGCTGTATACTGAAAGAAAAACAAATATATAGTATAGAAATCATCTATCTAAATTATTTATACAACTATGATTTAAAATATTTTGCAAATTTGGCAATCAATAAAAAATATCCTAAACAATAACCAACCCGTATTGCCTTTTAAATTTGAAATGCTATATAGGTGAATTTTTACCTGTTCACATTTTGAGTTTAGTATAAATTTTGTTTATTAAAATTTTGAAAGCTTAAAATAAAATTTAATCCTGCTGATCTGCTTTGTTTGGATCAATATGATTAAAAAGCTCTAAAAAATCAAAAATAAATTTTTACAGAAAAAGATCTTACATTAATAATTTGATAACAATGTTACCAAAAATTAGAAACCAATTTTTTAAATAAAATTTTAGCAAGAAAATAAAATATATTTTGAGTCAAATAGATCAGTAGAGTTAATAAGATTTAACATTTTGAAATTCATTTTCTTTACATTAAAATAACATTAATTCGGTTATTCAATACTTATAAACCTATAAAGTAGACATAAAAAGTGTAAAAAAATTCTTTTTTATGTGGAAAGATTTTCACCTAAAATAGTAATAATGTAAAAAAAAAATATAAATAGTATGTTAAAATTAATATTATTTCAAAAATCAAAATATCTTAAACTTTCTGCCACTTCTGTATACTTGACGAATATAACTTCATTGAGATTAAACCTCAATGCAATAAAACAATATGAAAAATGATCTTTGTATCCATTCACAACAATAGAAAAGCGGCACAAACAAGTTCCTTTTTTAATATTTATACTATGTATGAAAAATTGAGATTGGCAAGCGAGTTTCAGTCTTGGATGTTGACAAATAAAAAGCAACGCGTTATTCGTAAGATATCATGGTCTGACAATTCGAGTCATGAAAAAAAACAAATATTAAATGTTAAACGTAACGCACCACGAATACAACCTGCCGGTTGAATTTCGGAAGGGTTTCGTCCCACGAACGATCCTCGCAGTACACGGCAATGTGGAATGCGGTTTCTTGCAATTTGCGATTAACCTGAATACAATCGAAATTCTTGACAATCGTGACTTCGATATAATACGAAACATTGAAAGGCCAAGAGTGTAGATAATAGACATCAATCGCAGCAACAAAGCAATATGGAATAATTAGGAATAATATATATGTAATGCCAAGTATAAATAAACAGCTTGATTCGTGTGTCTCCAATAAAATACAGCAAATTTTGAGCTCTTCGAAAATCTCGAATGGTATTGTAAGAATATAAAGTTAATTGATATAAAGTAATTAGAGTGAGTTTTGAGAAGTTCCAGGCTACTTACTTACCAAATCAAATAGGAGCGAGCATAAGAGTGAGGGAGATCGCAAAAGAGCTTTGTCGGAGGCTTTTATCTTAGAATAGGTGTACCTAGATCAAGAAAGATAAGATAATAATTCGCTCGTTATTATAAACGCATGCCTGTTACCATGTGGGCATTTTTCAAACGTATGTGCCGAGTCTAGATATTCGTAAGTCGCGACTGTTCGAGGTAATCGCTTTATCATTGAGTTATTAAATTTAAATTTTGTATATCTACTAAATTTTCCTAAATTATTCAGAATACTTATATTTATTTAATCTTTATATGATTTGTAATATTATATAATGGTATAATTTTATATTTATCGGAAAACTGGTAAAGTTTTCTATTATTATTTGCAATAAATGTTGTCTGATATCTTTGTAACGAGACAACTTCAGATGCATCGGATTATTCTTTATCTTTTTCTAATTCTAGATTAGAAAAAAGAGAAAGAGTAGGTTACTCTGAGATTGACTGAGATTAAGTTAATTGACGCCATTTTATGCTAAAAATAAGCATTGGAATAACAATTGACGTCACTATTATTCTTATTTTCTAGGATTTTCAATATTGAACGTTTGCTTCACTGTGCGCGTATGTCTAGAATCTTTCTCACTTTAATGTGGTCAGAATGGTCAGATGTTTGCAAATGCTGTGCAGTCTGTGTGAATACTGGTGAATACTGGTGAATACTGAGAATGTGAGATATTTAACTTCAGTTTACTTTGTGTAACTTCTGTGGATTGTAATATTTTTCACGATCCAGGTAATACATAATAGAAAATTATATTTATATATGAATATTATTTTGTTATAACTATTGAAACAAACATAAAAATTTTCTAGGACAAATTCTAAGATTATAAAAATTTTTTGTTTGTTTTTTAAAACAAATTTTTTAGATGTTGCATTATATATTAATATAATATATTTTTATCTAGGATTTGGTGGTTCTTGTAATAAGTTTAGTAGAAGCAGGAAACTTGTATACTCTTGTAAATCTTAAATAGTAATTGATTAGTCTCATAAAACATGGCACATTACAAAGGAGCAGCCAGCGAAGCTGGCAGAGCCATACAATTGATGAAAAAGCGAGAAATTGCACAACAAGAAATAGAATTGCGAAAGAAGAAAATCGAAGATGACTTGAAGATTCATAATATAGAGAATAAATTTGCGACGCATTACAATGCTGTTGAACAACAATTAAAGACCTCCACAATTGGCTTGGTCACTTTAAATGAGATGAAAGCAAAGCAGGAAAATATAGTAAAAGAACGAGAAAGGAAGCTTGCTCAGAAGGAACGAGAAAAAGAACAAGAAAAGGAAAGAGCATTAGCAGCGAAACAGGCAGAAAAGAATAAACAGAAAAGACAGATTCAAGCATTGTCCTTTAATTTAGATGAAGAGGAAGATGAAGATGAATCTGAAGCTGAAGCTGAAGCTGAAATCTCTGACAAAGACAATGCAGAAAAATCTGTAAAATCAGACAATACTCGATGTAACAAGAAAATCAAGAAAAATCCAGATGTAGATACAAGTTTCTTGCCAGATAGGGAAAGAGAGGAGGAGGAAAATAAACTTAGAGAGGAATTGAGACAAGAATGGGCTACAAAGCAGAATGTATTGAAGGAAGAAGAGATTGAAATCACATTCAGCTATTGGGATGGATCTGGCCATCGTAGGAGTGTTATAATGAAGAAAGGTAAATACCTTAGTGATTAGAGAATTATAAAAGTATAAAAATACACTGTATCATCTATACTACACCAAATTTTTGCAAACTTTTACTTTTGACTTGTGTTAACTTTTAAAATATCAATGTAATTGTACTGCATGAGAGAGTTTATTAAAATATTTTAAAATTATTTTTCTTTTTTTCATATATAGGTAATTCTATCTATCAGCTTCTTCAGAGATGTCTGGAAGTCCTGAGACGTGAATTTAGTGAGCTTAAAACGGTAATGGCAGATCAGTTAATGTATGTCAAAGAGGATCTTATATTACCGCATCATTATACATTTTATGATTTTATTGTAACTAAGGTAAGAATGTTCAAGTAATAAAGCTTATCGCAATATTGTCATCTTACTTTGATAATATATTAATATTGCAATTAGGCACGAGGAAAAAGTGGGCCTTTGTTCACATTTGACGTTCACGATGATATTCGAGTTATGCACGATGCTTCTGTCGAAACTGAGGAGTCACATGCTGGAAAAGTTTTACTTAGGTAATTAATAAAAAAAACCAGTTTGATTGTATTGTATAATTTCTTTCACAGTTTTTATTTCTTATAATTTGTTATCCTTTTTATATTTTTAGATCATGGTATGAAAGGAACAAACACATTTTTCCGGCGAGTAGATGGGAACCCTTTGATCCAACAAAAAGTTATGACAAATATACAGTGTCAGATAAAAACAGAAAGAAAGATAAGCTCTGATAGATTTAGATTCAATGAATTATTCAACTATAAAGAATTTGAATTCAAAGGACACTACACTATACTATAGTACTGTCAAATAACTTTACTTCATAGTGTAATTAATTCATTATGAGACATATTGTAAAATATATGTATATATATTTTGTAGCCATATATATTTTTAACGACTGTGATTTTAATTCATTTAATGATAAGTAGTATTTAGTTTATTCGATTATATAACTCAATTTAACTTAATTAAGATATCAAAAGCAGGATTTGTGAAACTTTAAAGAAAAATTCTAGAAAGTATGAATAATTTATAATGACTTAAATATAATTATTATTAATATAAATATATATATACAAAAATTTGATCTGTTTTGATATAACAATCAGAAATAGTATTAAAATATTAATTCATTATTGGATTGTTTAACAAATCTATTTACAATTTCTAGACAAATCAGTGTCTTAAAAATAATTGTACAAAAATGTATAATAATTGTACATAAATATATACAATTATGTCGATTATAATCACGTACTATTTGTAGATTTGATACAAGCCGGGTCCATGTATGTAATATTTTCAGGAAAATGATCCATTATAATGAACTTTTTCTCAGTTGATTTAGTGAGACAGTCAAGGAATCCAAACCAGTAAATGACAAGCCCGAATCCAAATCTGTTCCAATAGCTCAAGAATTGTTCCTTCATATATTTTTGATGAACATCTATATTACCAAATCGTGCCTTTGATTCAATCCAGTTTATTACATAACCATTCACTGCAATCGGTACTTCCAATTTAAAATCTGGAGTCTTGTCATAGCCTCGTAATCTTAAGTGCTCTTCGTTACGAAATGCAATATTTCTTTGTATTAAACAATCTTGAAGTTTGATTTCATTTTCTTGTCCTATACATCTAAAAAAATATATCTCTTGTGTAAGTTTTGTAATTTATTAATTTATTTCATTTTTATATAAGTTTATGCCAAAAAAGTTAAGAAACATAGAAAGATAATTCCAGATCACATTTAATAAAAATTATAAATTTCTAAGAAATTCTCTATTGAATATTATTTCTTTTATTTTCTTTAGAAGGACAAAGAATTTTACTCAATATATAAATGCCTATAATATTGAAAAATATAAAATAATAGATTAAAATAAAATATGTTGATACATGTAATGAAGGAAACTTACATTCCCATTGCATCAGCTATTGGTCCATATAAATCATCGTATAATGTACACTGTGAAAAGAAAATAGTAAATTCTTTCTCCAAAACTTTATTTTTTTAAGATATATATAGATTAATAATCAACATTTAGATTAATTTATATTATTAGATATTAATCATTAATTTAAATCATTAAATATTAATTATATAATAATAATAAATTAGATACATTTATTAAGTCAATAATCAAGATATGTAATTTCTTTCTATGGAATATTATATATCTTCTCAGGCTAATTACCAAATAAATTTCATATGCAAGATTCTTATCATCAATCAGTGTAGTATCCTTAAACAGCTTGGAAATTAGATTTTTTGAAACTGAAATAAAATTTTACTGTCATTAAAATCCAAAGATGTTAAAATTAATTGCTTATCATTAATCAATGACTATCAAAAGTTACCATTTGCATTGTCACGCATACAATATTTTTCTAAAATATTACGGGCTAATAAAGCTGGTGCAGCATCGATATCTTTTGCTATTCTTAGCAGAATGCCTACTGGCTCTCCATTCTGCACTGCTTCCAAGTAACTAGGATTTAAAGACAGAGAGATAAAAATAATTAAATTTTAAAAAGTAAATTTTTTGACATATATGCATATATATATATATATATATGCATGTCAAAAAATTATATATATATATATAATCGCTTATAATATTTTAAAACCATTCACCTGTCATAATAATTTTTGTTATTTCCAAACAGTCTGACATGATTGTTTTTCATTTTCTGTTGTATTTCTAAAGACAAGATGCTATATAATGTGTTTGGATGGATGCTGTATAAGCAGAATAAAGAATCTTATAAGTAGTCCAAGTATTTTAAATAATTCTGAATTTATTAAAAATAAGGAGATTACGTAATTATGTTGGATTGACAAGTTTTTAAAGAATTTCTAAAAAATATTAATTAATCAGCAAATCATTTAATTTTACTACTTATCCTTCATAAGCCTCTTCTACAATAAGCCGTAAGTCATAAATCAGAAGAAACTAAAAATTGACGATTGTGATTGGTCCATTTCTAGTTTATGACTTATAATTTATGTCCTGTAACTTATTGTAGAGGCCCATCAGAATTGAAGTTTTAATAAAAAAAGAATTCTTACTCATTAAATTTCTCCTTTAACATTTTCGCACATTCTCTCGACAGGCCTCGAAAATTACGAATTGTCATCATAATTTCGTTGTACATTTCGGTCTTCATTATTTATGATTGTTTACATCAATAGTCATAACTCATAACCTCACTGAAATGCTCAGGTGTCTCATCTCGGTGTCTGTCAATTCTATTATGCGCTCTTGTCACGTGACAAACAAGCGCATGCGCAGCAAAGTAACGGCAAATGCAGGAACGCATATTTAATTGACATAAATTTGTATTAGCATAAATAGAATTACTTTTTATTTAAATTAAAAAAAAGTAGGGAGAACGAATTTAATTAGAAAGTTTGCTGTAAAAAATTTTATTGATTAAATTAATTACAAATTAAATTTTTACTTTTGCGATTACCGAGAATCCATTTCTATGTAAATTTTATTAATTTATTCTCGATTTAGAAATTAATTAATTTTTTAATAATTTTAAGAGCTAAAAAAGATAAAAAGTATGTTAAATTGAGATTTTGATTCCATTCAATAAATTTGGAGCAATCCACAATGTCTCGACAATTTGTATATAATTATTGTTTATAAAACATATATTTTTGCTAGTAGACGTCAGAAGCCGATGACGAAACTGTAATTTTCCAACTTTTTTTCGTTTTTGATATAAAGTCGATCAGTTTGGATTACATTATCGCTTATACTTTAATTGTAGAGAAGAATTATTAAATCTGTAATAGCAGTTAGAAAAATACTTATTTGAAAATTAATCAATAAAACAGACGATTTTAGGATTTCCACTAAAGGTTGTGTTTTGAAATTTACTGCCACAGTATTGAAAATCTATAGCTTACGTCACGTGTACTATAGATTTTCAGTTACTGGCATCAAATTTTAGAACACTGCCTTTGTGTGCCATGTTTGTGACACATTTAATTAGTGTCAGTACTGTCAGTGTGTATCGCGTGCGCATGCGTATGTGATGTATGCGCCGTAACCATCAAAGGATCTGTGAAGTTTGTTAACATGTTCTGTGGTCTGTTACAGTCTGTTGGCAGTCAAATTTAGATGAAAGGATGGATTTTCAAGATTATCTTAGCCGCCAATGCGACTAGTACAACGGAACTGACTTATTGATAATAAATACATAGTGCCGTATAGAGAGGACTTATCAGGTTTAACAGATAATAACAAAAAATGCCAGCGATACTAGTCGGACCGCCGCAACGCAATGAGCAAATGTGGCAGGCGCTAAAGACTCATATTTTAAGAGAGCGACAACGAAAGAAACAAGGTGTTTAACATTAACTGTTAAAATTGAAATGTAGCACATAAGATGAATATATCTATAAGTTTTATTTTGTTTCTCTTTTTGATTGAATGGAATTCCTTCTTACAAACTCGTTTGTAAAAATTATCCATTGTATTTCAGAACAAGAAGCTGATGCCGAGGAAGAACGTCTACGCAAGGAAAGAGAGCGCCAGCAAAAACAAGATGTGATGACATTAGGTGAAACACGAGAACAAATCTCAAACTTAGACAATGAACTGTCTCAGTTGAAAGCGGAGAAGCATCAGTTATTCTTACAATTGAAAAAGGTTCTGAATGAAGATGACAGAAGACGACAACTTATAAAAGAAACCAGGTTTGCAATTGCAATGTTTGAAATTCCATTCAGGAATTATAATTAATAAATAAATATTTGTACAATACTTGTACGATAAAAAAAATTATTTTACTTCTCAGCGTTTGTTCAGAAGTTTCAACGACAGTAGGAGGATATCCTGCAACTGGTCCGAGAGTAGTACATCCACAACTATTTTTGCCATTACCACGTAGCAGTAGTCCTCTTTACAAGGTTGCTGTTGGTACACCAACACATTTGTTGCCAAGTGTAAGTAAAAACTTCCTTATCAATATATACTTTGGCTATTTTGTATATATATGTATATATATATATCAATTATAATATATATATCAATTATATATCCACACAAAAGTCAAAATTAAACTTTTAAACATAAGTTTATGTGAACATTTTCTTGACCTCACACACATTATATTGTATAAGTTTAATCCTGATCTTTGCAGTATTTTACACATACTATATTTAAAAAATTTACTGTTAAAAATATTTTTTAAAGAATAAATTTTGCATTTCAATATTTTTTGTCTCTAGGGAACTTTAAAAAGGACTCATACTCCATCGCCACCACCGACTGCACCATATCACAGTGCTTATGGCTACAAACCGCCACCATCTATCCCAAGTTATAATCCACCTCCTCCTAGTGAGTAATACAAATTATGTAAATATTTTATAAGAATAGCATATATTTATTTGTATTAATTTACATTCGTTGGCAATAATGCTAAAATTTTAGAAAAAAATAAGTTTAAAACCACACAAATTAGTGTTTAATGCCTGTTTCCACCAATGCAGATTAACTTTAATCTCGGTTTAACTTACTGTTAATCTTTTTCTAATTTTTAGAATTAGAAAAAGACGAAAAGCAAATTGAACCGAGATTAAAGTTAATCTGCATTAGTGGAAATGGGCATAAGTAATAACACTATAATTTTTTTACTGAAAATTCTATATTTAAGTTGTGAAGATGACATTGAATATTAGTGCTTTGTATTTGTACTTATGTAGAATCTGAGGAAGCTGCCAGAAGATCTGGTGATGCTCGGGCAGTTCTTTGGAACAGTGAGTGAATTTCTTTTCCGTGTCTCTTTGCTTTCTCGAATATAAAATATAAATGTTTACCACTGCTTTTCCATACTCATTCATCTTAATTATTTTTCTTCTTATTCGACAGAGAACAATCAGTACTCTGCATCGAACTTTTACTCGGCGCCCACAGGCCAGAGTGTTTACAGTTATTCCGCACCAGCGTCACAACCATCTCGAGAGCCCTCGGAATCAGCTAAACCAGTTTATCTTTCGAGCGGTAGAGCACCATTAGCCACACACCAGACTGGTAATATAATTTATCTCATCAATCAACATTAGTTTAATATTACATTTACTTATTTTGTTAGAAGTAAATTAATAAATTCATGAAAGAAATAAGAAGATAATCGAAAAAATTTTGCTACAAACAAAAAGAATATTACATTCACAGCTAGTTTTTTAAACAAAAAAGAAATGCGATAATAGTTAAACGATAATAATTGCATATTGCGATTCAAAATAAAGTAACACAATTTTTTAATTTTATTTATTAAAAAATTATATTTTTTACTAAAAAAAAAGTTATCCTTGTAGCATATGTAACTAATTTACACTCAATGGAGCATAAAGGTGCTTATGGTGAAGATAAGTTTTACCTGCGCCCAACAAATCACGTTACTGTTCACGGTGGAGCTATCCCGATTCAACAACCGCCACAGGTCATGTTTAAACAACTTTTTTATACCTTTTTTATCGTTTTATACAAAGCGAAGAAATTAGTTAACAAAATTGGAAATGAATTTGATCAAGTTTGGCAGCAACTATTTTGTACATCCATTTTAAAAATACATTGTTATAAAAATATTATTGTACATTTACTTGTTTTTGAACTTCAATCTTTATTAATTAATATAGGGTGCGAAAACTGGCGGGATTACTTCCGGTTATCCTGTACGAGCACCTCAACCACCACCACCTAGTTCATACCCGCCACCACCACCACCTTCTCCTGGTACCTATGTGAGTGGTTCAGCTGCCAACGTACCTGGTAGGCTATTGTATACACAACCTGGTGCTCGCTATCTTCAACGAGAAATATAGGATCGTACATTTTAATGAAAGATTTTTTAATCTTTAGTTCTTTTTCGTGCAGGATCTAAAATATTGAAATCTATGAATTGCAGTCTGTGCGTTTGATGGATCATTAGACCTGTTCTTTTTGGCTAAACTTTTGCACCAATCCTGTTTTCCTTTTCTCTTCTCCTAGAGAGAAAAGGAAGAAAGATAAACTGGTGCAAGTTCAGTCAAAAAGAACAGACCTATTGAACAGGAATTAATAATTAGTCAATATTTGTGAACACTTTATAAAATATAAAGTGGATTAGTATGTGTACATATATAAAGAATTAATCAAATTAAGAATAAAATGTACTTGTTCTTTTAATACAAATTTTTATTTTTTGGTTATTACTAAAAATTGTCTTTTAAATTTTTATCTGCAAATATTTGTAATATCTTTGTGATATTATTTTGCGAAAATATGTTGCATTTAAAAGTTATAATTGATAAAAATTTCTTACGTTTTGCTGTTGTATCATTAAATAATAAATTCTATTAAGCATATCAAACGCAAATATCAATAAGATGTTCAAAAATTCAACCGACATACTTTCAGAGATTGTCGGAGCTACCCAAAGGATCATTTTTGCAAATAGACCTTTTGGTGTCTCCGGCAATCTCTGAAGTTTGTCGGTTAAAATTCCGAACACCCTGTATAAAAAATAAGAATGCATGTGTATGAAGTTTATACCCTGCACAAATCACAGAAATTCATACTGTAAAATCATATTGTAAAATTTGTAATTATAATTATTTGACAAAGGGTACTTGATAAAGAAATATAATACAAACGTATAATTCAACACACACACACACACACACACACATATATATATGTATATTATTATACATTGTATAACATATAAAAAGCCTGTAGTTGTTCGACAAAAAATTCAATTTAATACGTAAATAAATTTGTAATTGTACAATAAAAAAGATAGTATATGCTCAATTGTAAACTAAAAATAAAAAGAAAAAAAATACTCTATATAAGAAAAAAATAATTACTTCTTATATCTTATATTAACATTAACCCCCGTATTCATAGTCAGACCTTATACTTAAGGCTTCCTTAAATTTATCTTTAGATACTCAGTAGATACTCAATAAAATGATTCGTAAATCATCTGAAGATAAATTTAAGGAAGCCTTAAGTATAAGGTCTGACTATGAATACGGGGGTAAGTTCCTAGATATATGTATAATGAATTACAACATTGTCACAACTTATCATTTAGTTACAAATTAACCTGACTTTTATTACTATTCATACAATAAGTAAAAAAAATATGATATCGTATCAAATCAACTTATAAAATACAAGTTATAGTATAAAATAAAATTACAAAATAACAAAAGAAATAATTAAACGCAAATGCAAATTTACTTATTTATAGCCTCAGTTGGTCTAGAATATTCTGCAGATTTTCTCCAAATTCGGAAGTTGTATCTATCATTTGTTGTTTCGTTATATGTTGCTCCGAACACAAATGTGCACGAAGGTTGATAATGCCGCGTACTTCTATTAAACACAGTTTGCAATAAATGAGTATAATACTCGTCTCATTTGGCTCCCTGTACATAGAAAGAGTACAAGATATTAATATTATATAAATAATTAAGATATTAATATAAATAAATAACAAGATATTAATATAAATAAATACCAACGTATTTTAAACGGTCCAAATTTAATAGAATATATTATTAATGATGTATCACTTACTGATGAGCTAAAGCCTCTAATTCTAACAGATGTCTAATCATTTCTTCCAGATTATCGTTCCTATCATTTAATTCTAATGCTTTGTGTAAACCATAGACATTACTTTTCTTCGATGTTTCTCGAGCAGGCACGAGAAA